TCTCACTACTATAAAGGCTCGGTTTGAGCTGATATTTCATTGGTGGTAGTGTTCAGGGTCACTGATGAGGAGTAGAATTATTCAAAACAAGTCTGTCTCACAGACACACACCCAATGAAAGAATAGATCATTCTAAGATTTTACTTCTTGTTAAACAAATGTTTAAACAACTCTATTTATTCAATTATGTACAAGCTGCCCAGTGTCGGCTAACAATACGAAGAATTAAAATGTGGCGGGTTGCTACAAGTTTTTTAAATACCTATAGAATGATAGGTTTCATTTTTGTGACTGTAAAATACTTAAATACACCAGTCTGTAAGATAGTTGGTAAGAGCAAGGATCACTTCAGTTTTCAAAGGGGCATGATAATAGGTACCAGTCTATCAAGAGCATCGCAAAAAATGCCATTTATATGACCAGCTATAAATTTCAAAGACATAAGCCAGAAGAATCAATCAGAAGTGACAATCGAAAGTGAATGCTCCCCCTACCAGCAAAAACTGACCACTAAAAACTCTTTGTACTGTTGGTTATCACCAAATTTAATGGTTATATTTTTAGGGGAACTACCACAGTTTGCCGACAGCATACCGAATGTTACTGTACCTGTGGGACGTGAGGCCTATCTAGAATGCACAGTGGAGAATTTGGGCAATTACAAAGTAAGTGTGTGAAAAATAAGAAGGTTTATAGACGAAAATGTGGTAGAAAGTTCCTTCATTTTTTATCTTATACAAAATATTTCTATAAAATATTCGTTGTAATGTATCGTATTTATGTGTTATTTAAAAGGCAAGCATTATTTTGAATCTGTTTCTAGTCACATAATTTGTATTGTTAAAGCTTAACGAGAAAACGAAATATTCTTTCAAGTATTTGTGAAGAAAAAGTTTTGATATATCTGTTTAATTAAAACGAGAACGAAATAATTTTACTTCTTTGTGTGTTTTTTAATTCCTAATCATCTGACTCAAATGACATTGTTTTTTTGGATCTAAGTTAAATATTTGTATTAGCAATAATAATAGCATTTTTTCAGACATCACACGTACTCCCGAATTTTATTTGCACATGGATGTTATTATTACATGTGCATCAAGTTTTTTAAATTGTAACAGAAATATGTTTTATATTAAGAAGTTTCAAAGATAATCAGTCTAATCCTTTCATTAGCCCAGAAGAAGATTCAAAGATAATGGATCTTAACCACTCATTAGCCAATAAGAAGATTAAAAATAATCGGTCTTATCTTCTCATTACCTTGTAAGAAGTTTGAAGGATAAACACCCTTAACCATTCATTAGCCCATAAAAAGATTCAAATATAATCGGTCTTATCTTCTTATTAGTCCATAAGAAGTTTGGAAGATACTTGGTCTTAACCACTCATTAGCCCATAAAAAGATTCAAAGATCGGTCTTATCTTCTTATTAGTCCATAAGAAGTTTGGAAGATACTTGGTCTTAACCACTAATTAGCTCATAAGAAGATTTAAAGATTATTGCTCTTATTAGCCTACAGCACATTGATCAGAAGCACCTATAATCAGGGCCTAAATATGCAAGTTTCCCGGATTATTGCTCTTTATTACTGATAGGTAAACATCATACATTCAATGTACCAAAGATGCTTACTTATTCACTCACATGCATGGTTACGTAGTAGTAACTTGTAATTTTATGTATTCTGGCTGTATTACCAAACTAATTAGGAAGTTAGCACTAAATACAATTAATTTAACTTTTTTTCTCCGTAAATTTGCTGAGAAAGTCAAGTGAGTTTGAGATAACGCCGAAAAGTGTCTTATAATACTATTTAGACCAGAAACTTTGTCCTGGAACATTAATAGTTCCATCACATTCGGTATCTCCGATAACTTATGTAGGATCATTGCATTTAAAGTTTCTTACATATTTATCTATTTATTACTCTATGACTTAAAAGGAACTACATCAGAAGAATCTTATATTTGCTTAGAGTTCTGGCCTAAGAACTGACACGATTTTAAGATAATATAGGAACAACAAAGATTCATTAATTCGACAATCTACAACAAATATTTTAGTAGAGATTCTGACTTTAACATAACTCCCTCTTTATAAATTAAACTCCTTGTCTTCGTATTGAGCTACGACAGTTAAATACTACCATACATTAAGTGAGCGTGAATAACAGCATATATTTAGATAAATTACAAACTTAGTTGCCATAAACTTCGAGCTTATTGGGCGTAAGAAGTCTATAAATGCACTAAGTGTTATCAGGCTGACCTGACATATCTAGGTGATTGACATACAATTGTGTATTAATCACCTGAAGACGCCTGGTGAAACGTACTTTATTCGTATACTTTGTACATCAGATAAACTCGAAGTTTAAGTCATATGAGCTGTTAATGTAATATTTTTTCGAGTTATCTCACTATATATATACATATATTTAGATAGTAAGCACGACATATTTGATGCTATTCATATACTTCAGGTGGCGTGGATTAAGCTGAATACCCAGACCTTATTGACGATCGACACTACGGTCATCACTAGGGATGATCGGATCCGCTCGACTAACAACAACTTCCGTCAGTGGTACTTACACATCCGAGACGTTAAGGAAGATGATCGGGGATATTATATGTGTCAGATCAATACAGAGCCCATGATCAACGTGAAAGGATTTTTAGATGTCCAGTGTAAGTTCGTATATTTTATACTTGCTGTCACGAGCTTCCAGTTATGACGCAATTTTCATAAACCTACAACGTATGTTTTCACCGATATTTTATGCAAGTTTGGTTCGCACATTTATCTTGAAACATTACAATATGCAATATATATATATATGTTACAAGCTTTCCTTATGGCACAGTTGCTTTTTTCTCAAATATCTGCCATTTTTTGACATTTGTTTTTCTAAATATTAGTCGTTCGTTAATAGATTTTGTTTATACAGAAAACGTCAGGAATTCTGAAACAAGTATTTTAAAACAACTACCATAGAAAAACTTATCACTCTGGAGTTAAACTACACTGCACAAAAAAATTAAAGGATATACATATTAGTATTTGTAATACTGCAGCTATGATAAGGCAGGTTGTATGACAATAATAACCACTCCTTCATTTTATCGTCATCAAAATCAAGGACCTTGAAATGCAACTCATTCTTCGTCAAATTTATGCATTATATATCTAGTGATATAATAATGCCTTAGTTGTTACTTTGAATTTAAGTTTGTTTATTTTGGAATTTCGCGCAAAGCTACACGAGGGCTATCAGCGCTAGCCGTCCCTAATTT